AATCTAACCTTTTTTAAAATTGAATTGCAGGTGGTTTTTCCGTACATATGCATCATGTTTTAAGGCCTCAGAACTAATTGATTGGCTGGTCAACATGGAAGTTGTGAGGACACGTGAAGAAGGCATAGCATACTGTTGTCATTTAGTTCAAGGACGAGTAATTCGAAATTTTGGAAATGTAAATAATTTCCAAGATACTCCTGTACTCTATACATTTCTACCATCAACTTCTAATAATGTTCCTTTTGATGGGTCAGATAGTTTTTAACTTCTTACAATATAAGGGACCAAGGAAAAAAGAGCCTATTCTTCAAGCATAGTATTTTGCCAAAGATTTAAAGTCTACTTGCTTGGTTTCATGTGTGATATGTCCAAAGCTGTTTTAGTTTATGTAAATTATATCCATTGAATCCTAAAAAATAGTTTTATCTTGAATTCTGAACTTTATTTTTGTTGTTCAGAAATTGTTTGTGTCTCAAGGTCTGATCTAATGTTGGAAGAATCCTTAAGTTTCTTAATACATTCAAGTTATATTTGGTGTGAATGAATTGTAAAGAAAAAATACTTAAGAGTTTGTTAAGTGAAAAGTTGATCAAAAATTTTATCATGATCATCAAGATAAATTTGTGTCTATTTGCTCAAATTACTTTCTCTTCAGTATTACTTCTCTTACAAATACTGTGTTGTGTCTTAATCTTATTTTTGATTCCCTTTAAAATCTGTTCTATCATTGTATGTTGTGTTTTCTCATCTGATAATTTTAATGCTCCTATCTGTATTTTGTATGAAGCATTATTTTTTCTCATGTCTGCCTTCTCTCTCATTTTCTGCTCTTTTGTAATTATTTTAAGGATGGCTTTGGTAGTGAAAAATTACCCTCCAGGCTTGTTCACTTTAAGCCTTTTTATTGAACTCTACATGTTCTACCAACTGCAACCTGTGCTGTGCAAGTAGTTTTGTTCTATACACAATAGTGTATGTGTGTGAACATTTGTTTTACCTAGTTTTAATTGGTCGACTGTGATTTAATTCCATTGAAACAAAGAGATAGGATGTTATTTTTAATGCTACTGCATTAGTTTTACCACTTGTTCAGTTTTTGCACTGTTTCTTTTATAAATTATATGTCCGTACTTAAAGCTGCTTCTTTTGCTTTTTTCATATTTTAGTTTGAACAAAATATTAACTTAGACAAATTTAATTTGGATCTCTCTTATGATAGTTCATATAATTTATCATGAAATATGCCTCAGGCTTTCATCCGCAGCTAGAAAGAATAAATTATCTAAATAATTCCCAAACCGTGTAGATGTTTGTTTTTTTCCTGCGATCCCTCGCCTAAGCGACTAAAGCCGCAGACGACAACACACACACGCCACCAACAGGGACTCCTCTGGGCGGGGGCGGGGGCGGGGGTTGTTTAAAGCAGCCTTTTCCGAGCGGGGGTGGCGCGGCGCGTGCTTAGCACCAATCTTCCCACGCGCCCTGGCGCGGGACGGGGACGAAGCGGGGCTGCGGGGGCCCGAGCCGGGCAACCCCTCCGGGGGCCTGGGGCGGGGGCGCGGCGCGCGGCAGTGTCTGTGCATCGGGCCGGGGCCGAGGCCGCCGCCTCCGTCGCCGCTGCTCGTCGTTGCTCCGGCGCGAGTCCATGCGCCGTGGACGCACAGCCCTGCAACGGGAGGGTAAGCATACGTCGACCGCCCCACGGCCACCTCCCGCAGGTGCCACCTGCACCTGGACCGCACTCTGCATCATGTGCAAGGCTGCAGGCGAGAGAGTTCCTCGGAAGGTGCGCGCTTGCGCCAGGTGGGGGCTGTGGGCTGTGAGGCACCGCACGGTTTCCAGTCAAGGCCACTGCAGACTCACTGAAAGTGGGGGTTGGTTTTGGTAAATCAGGATACGATGGCGGGGTTCGGGGTGCTGTTGACTAGTAGGGGTGGTTGGGCGAAAGAGAGGAATCGGCGTATCCGAGAGCGCACAGCGCACACCCTTGTTACGAACGGTGTATACGTTGCTGCGGTGTCCCGAGACCCCTAACCCCTAGACCGAAGGGTGGAGCGGGGGTGAGGTCGGGGGGTGAGCTCCAGGCGAGACTTTGCGGTGGCGCCGGCCAGGTATGCAGCCCTCCGTGCGGCGGTGCGTGTTTGGTTGCCATGGTGGAGTGCGGGAGGTGCGCCGCGTCCCCCTCGGCGTCGCGGCGCCCGTCGGGACGGAGTGGACTACGGGCCCCGCGACGCGCGACGCGACAAGGAAATCGGACTGGGGAGAAAATCGGGTGTGGCTCCTCCTCCTCCTCTTTTATTTCCGTGTCGGATGGCGGACAGATAATTGTCCGCGAGTCATGCGTGAGGTTTTTGTGCTCACACTGCGAGTCGCGCCGCCCCCGCGCTGCCCCCGCCCCGGGAGTACTTTAGTGGCCCCCGTCCAGTCGGCGCCTCAGTGAGGACCAGACCAGACCTCCGCACTCAACAGAACGGTCAGCAGCGCCTCGCGGCCCGGCCCCTCAGACCTCAGCACCATGCCCCCCGTCGTGGCCGTGCAGCAGCACTGGCACTGGTGGGTTGGCGGGTGTTCGGTGCGCCCCCCCCCCCTTTTCCCCTAACCGAGTCAGTGGTTTCGATCTTGTTCCAGGTGCAGCATGCAGGTGGAGCGCCGTGGCCGCTGGAGTCCGGAGCCCAACGCCATGGCCGTCTCCTCCGTCCGGTTGGACAAGCTGGACCTGTTCAACTTTGACTCGGCGCCGGCCTGGGATAGCCCCGTGGTGCTGTCCTCGCCGCGGTCTCTGGCAGCGTGCCGGCGCGCCGGCGTCAAGGTGCGACCTGGCTGGCGTCTCCCCCGGCCCCGGCCTGGAGAGCTGGGCGCCCTCTTAGTCTCGACCCTCTTGTTGCAGCCGGTGGAGCTGCTGTATCGCAGCGAGCAGGAGGTGCTGGCGTCGCTGCCGCCCGACGTGCCCGGCGGCGTTCTGCAGGCCGTGCACCGCAGGGCCGAGGAGGAACGCCAGGGTGGGTTACTGCTGCTAGACAACCTCGTTATGACCACCTGTTATCACCATCTCCCAGATGGCTGACCTGACATTCCTTGTACGCCACCCCTCAGCTAAGTTACGCGCCTGCCGAGCCATCCGCCACCAGATGATCCAACGACAGCAACAGGGGGACCAGGTGACCGGATCACCGAGGCGACCGACCTACCAGTCGACGGACTTGGCTACGGCCGGGATGCGCGACCAGGGCGTTTTCATCACCGAGAGGAATGCTGCTCTCGTTGGACCACTCTTCCCTGCCAAGAAGGACGTCCTCAGGGACAGCTCCCCCAGGTCGAGGTACTCCCCGCAGGAGGTCAAGAGGCAGGACTTTGCCAAGGCAGGGTCGCCAGACCGGGGTACGGACGTCTCCTTCGACTTCAAAAAGGACTTCTTCAAGGCAAGCTCTCCCGACTCCCCCAAGAACAAGGCGGACTCACTCAGGACACCATCACCCGACTCGCGCCGGAGGTCGGCCTCACCGGAAGT